AATAATAAAAAATGACACAAACAAAATAAATAAGTCAGTGTACACAAACAAAAGAAAAGAAATTAGTTAGTACAAGTAAAATAATTGATACAGATAAAAATGTTATTCAGAGATGAATATAACACCTACCCCGTCATGATATCTACCCGAGCATGCTTTCCATAGATAACATTCCTACCCGGGCATGCTTTCTACCTACAATGATCTATTTTCAAGAAATTGGTCCTAATCGCATGGTATCTAGTTCGCATGCTTTTATTCGAAAAGAAAATAGATTCTACGAATTTAAAGCAAAAGATAAGGGTTTAGAAACGCTCCTCCTTTGTGTACACCTATTTTGGGTACCTACTAACAGATAGAGGTTCGTTGTGACTATTTCTAGGGTGACCGTTCTACAGTTCACTATATGCATGGTTTAAGCTCTAACAGAAAAAGGGGACTCAAATTGTCCTTAATGTCGGTGCCCCCTTGGGCTGCCAGACCCTCGATCCTTACCCATTACAGGTTTTAAACGGAACGAGTTCAATTCGAGGGGATTCACTACCTTATACACATACGAGGAATAAATCCCTACGAAGGTATAAAGTGTGTATCCCATAGGTTATTTGCTAAAACTCATACGAAGAATAAATTCTTACGAGAGTAAAGCAATCACCCTGACTAATTTGGATCGAAGCTCGTGTCTAGAGCTTATGTTATGCAAATGCAGTGATGTGTGTGAGGAGGAACATACCTACCTTCGACTCAAAAGGAAAACAAAACAAGGAAAAAATGATAAAATCTTGACAAAGCTGAAAGCCAAAAATAAAATGTTAGTATGACAAAAAAACGAAGCAATTAAAAGTTTCAATAAACAGATCATAAGTTAACTATGTACTCAAACTTATAGTTTCCACTAAGACGACAATGTGTAAGCGACCTACAGCTTAACTCTCTAAAAGATGTCCCCAACAGAGTCGCCAAGCTGTCATAACCATTTTTTATAAAACAATTAAAATATTATTTTAAAAAACGATTATGACTTTAATTTTGGAAAAACTGGTGATTTTGAATTGATTGAAATAAAATGGAAAAGTAAGTCGCCATCGACCTTTGAGTTAGGTAGGTCGAATACCTAAAAACATCTTTTAAAAACAATTTTAAGGAAAATCATTTTTAAAGACAAAAATGGTATGCGTTTACCAAAGATTCGATTTAAACGGGTTCGGGAGATGGTTACGCGTAGGGAATGATTAGCACCGCCACAACGCCCAAAAATTGGTATTGTGTCGCTTACACACTGTCGTAATAATGAAAATGATAGATCGAATATAAAGTTAAAAGATGATTCGTTTATTGAAATGTGATTGATTTGCTTCGAATTAACTATATAAAGGAAATCCTTTAACTCGATAAAAAATCTTGAAATTAGCAATCCTCCGTCGGGAAAGCTACTTCAACTATTTTTCATTGTTAAAGAATATTCTATCTTTGATTATGAAAAACAATATGAATCGAATATAACTATAAAACGATGTTTACATACAAATAAATTGATTAACTAAAAATTTGAATTGAATACAAATGAAAATTTTGAAATTTGAATTGAATACAAATGAAAATTTTGAAATTTACATTTACATAAAATAAAATAAATTACTATTTAAAATAACACACATTGCATCATTTGCACAAATTAACAAAATATACTCAACTTATTTTAAGTTACTATGTCGTTAAAATGTCGTATCGGATCGCACCACTTCGACCAAGTGATACTTTCCACGCTCATTCTACGCATACATGTTCTTAAAAGTATTCAAATAATATTAACAAATAAATAAAACCATGGAAATAAACACGATTAAAAAACAAAATAAAACATGTACAATAACTAGAGCCAATAATATATATATTCACAAATAACTACATTATATAAAATATTCATACATAAAGGACTAAAATAAAACTAAGATAAAATTACAAATCCAAATATAAATCAAATAAACACATAGGATAATTTCGGGGACTAAAATGATAAAACATGAACTTACATGGCTAAAATAGCAAAATAGAAAGTTAAAGGACTAAAATAGCATAAACATGAATTTATAGGACTAAACTGAAACAAATAGAAACTTAGGGACTACAATAATAATTACAAACAAATCAGAGCCCAAGTAGCAAATGTTAAATAATACAAATACTGAAATGGAAATAACCCAAAAATTACGATAAAGGATTAAAATGAAATAAAAGTAAACATACATGCTACATTCCAGATTTAACACAAAATAACCAACAGTGACCAAAATAAAAATTTCATAAATTCTGTAGCCAAATTTAAACATCAAAGAAAATACACAAAACACGAGATTGGTGACTTAAATGCAACAATATAAAACATGGTGACCAAATTCGGATAATAACAATTGTAGCCTAATATATAATAACAGGACCAAATTGAAATATACATAAATTAAAGGGTCAAATTTGAACATCAACAAAAACATACACCACATAAAATCACTTACTAAAATGAAAACTTTAAAGAAAACTATGCTCAAAATAACATATAAACATACACATATTTAATATAAAGGCAAGGACTAAAATACAATGAAAACAAACATGATGCCCGAATCAAAATTAAACCAAATATCCAACAGTGACTAAAATAAAGACTTTACAAATGTCATGGCCAAATTAGGATGTCAATGAAAATGAACAGCACACTAAAATAGTGACTAAAATGGACTAATTAAAAGTATCATGACCATATTCAAGTAATCACAGAAATATGTAAGATAAATGACTAAAATAAAAGTATTACAAATAAGGTGGCCAAATTAGAATAACACAAAGATTATAAAATACATGGAATCAGTGATCAAATTGAAATATTTGAAAATATTGAAGACAAAATCAAATATAGACAAAAATGATATAAAACGTGGATAGTGACCAATATATAACAGTGAAAAAAATAAAAAAACTCAAAGTCAAATAAAATGAAACTTCATTTAATTGTTAAATCATGAGATTACAAGGATCAAGGACCTACAATGTAGTTTACCCCTTTTACCAAAACACGTAAATTCCCACAGCCTCAAACGACGTCGTTTCGCTTGATGGCTATGGGCTTTCTCTGCCCATTTTCCTCATTTATGCTTCATTCTCAAAATAGAGAAGAGAGAGATATTAAAACTCTCTCAACCTCTCCTTGTCGGCGAGAGGGAACCACGGCGGAGTCGTGGCGGCGTACGGCGGCGTCAATGGCCGGAGAGAGAGAGACACCCAAAAAGTCTCATTTCCTCATCCTCCTCCCAGAAACTCACATACTTTTCCCTACAAACAACCTTAGAGCCTCAAATCTAAAAGGGTTACCTCTCGAATCAAAAAAACGCCGGCGACCCGTGGGCTTCCCCGACGAGCTCCGACCAAGGTAAGGGCTTTTTTCACTCCCTTTCTTTCTCTTTCTTTTATTCTTTTTTAAGACCCCGAATGCTCTCTCTCTCTCTTTCTATTATTTTTTTTTCTTTTCTGATTTTTTTCTCTATTTTTGTTGTTTTCCCGAATCTCCCTCCTGGTCCCTTCTCTTGCATGCGATATCTCTTCTTTTATGCCCCAGAAGATTGATGGATTTGTGCTAAGTTTGTAGGCAAATAATACCCTAGGTTCTAGGATAAGATTTGTTTTGATTTATTTCTCTGTTTTCTGACTTGGTGTGATTTCTATCCACTGTTGATGATGGATGCGAGTCACTATTGTTGCAGAAGAGGACGGCGGCGACAGAAGGCTGTTGGAGGGGAGGCTCAGCTTGATCAGCTCGACGACTGAGAAGCTTGACCAGGAAACTGAAACACCAAGAGCCGACGACTGCTAGGAAGCCAGACAGCTGATTTGGTACTTTAAGGTTTCAAAACCCTAAATTTTGAGTCGGGTCAATTTGTTGGGCAGTTCACTGCTGATGGGTTGTATTTTTTTGGCTCCAGTATTGGGCTTTGGTCACATGTTGGGTTTCAGGTGGACTGTGGACTGGGTCTTGGGTGAGATTGTATTTGGGCCTACAAAAATTGTAAATTAATTAATTAATAATAATAATAATAATAAATTAAAATTAAATAGAAAAGATCCGAACAAAAACGGGTGCTACAAGTATTATCTTGTAATTACGTATATTATTTAAAAAAATTAAATGTTAGCAACGGCATTAATGATGAACAGCTTGCTGATATGATACTTGTTTGGGGGCACAATTAAGCAAGGATGGAAACACAAGTGTTGAGAAAATGTCCCTTTTGGTTATGTTTAATGAGGCGGGGGCTAAGGCATTTACATGAGATTCAATTTTGCAACCACAACCATGTGGCTCCACTCTCGAGTCTGCTGCTCAATAGAAAAGATAATACAAAATATGAGTACATACAAGACATGCTGGATAGGGATATTTTGAGAACATACGTGGATACTCATATATGGGGGAGAAATGGAGTCCATTAGATATGTTAAGAAAGCTACTAATAACCAATTTGTATAGTAAGTTGAAGCATTAGATTCCTTACGCAAGGTTATAGGTTCGAATCCTGATGTTATGAATAGAATAAACTGGATTGGAATGATCGTTCTCATAATAGTCCTGTGCAGTATCCAATCTAGACAAATATAGAACCAGCCACTGTTGATACAACCAGTAGCTATATCTTTGGATTCATTTTCCAATGACAAAACCAGCCACTGTGATGCAATGCAAGAGAACACAACTTGCCATTTCGGTCAACATGCTGAAAGATAAACCCTAAGTGGGAATTCTCTGGTATGCAAAAACAATTCCCTATAGTTTGTTCATATCTAGCGGACCAATGGATAATCCTTCCTAGACATGAGTATCGGTACCAGACCTAAGCAATTACCACAATGATCATACCGTAATATCAGACAAAGGTAGCTATACGATGTATCATACCACATACAGGTTAAGCAGACAAATGCATTAGCAAAAGATGAGGGACAACATAAATCTTGATGCCGATCACCATTTATACTTCAATATAATAATGCTGTAATTGACTCTGAGAGAGAGAGAGGAACAATCTTACAAATCTTATGCTTCTAAAACATATCTAAATATACTATGTGAATACAGAAATTCTTCTGGTGAAAGCATTGATCAGCTCTTTTCCAACACGGGAAGAAAATAAGCGAATCTCGAATATCACGTCATTTATAGCCTCAAAATATAAAGCACATTATTAGACAAATATTAGACCTGTAGAGTTCTACCATTTTGGAAACATAAAACACTTTGATGCGTTTTATGAATTCCAGGAGTCCGACGAAAAATGCAGTGTCAATCCAGGAATGATACATGAACCACCATATTTAACCAAGATAGAACACTTATCTACTCAGCCTTTGGTTCTCATAATTGTGATGCTGCCTTTTTCTCCATCGGTACGAATTTTAGTTTTGCCAACAACAGGCTTCCCAGAAAAAACAGAAGTTGGGAAAGCATCAGCAAGATCTTCATTGCTTTGTTTTGATTTTGATGGTGGTGGAGTTTGGATTCGCTGGTTTATATCCTTCAAGGTAACATCTCCGTGGAAACCACACGGTTTAATGAAAGCAAATGGGTAGGCAACAGATGATGCTTCCTTAGGAGGCATCCGAATGAAAGACTTCCTACCTAAATGATTTTAAAAAAATTCCGATCTGACAGTGTTAATCTCCGTTAGAGGTAAAAAATGAACATAGGTCACTGAGTCCTGCTTAAAGGACATGGTAAATTGAAATAGAGACATAATTCATACAAGCTTATTCTTATCCTATCTAACAACGGCAGGGAATAGATAGGTTGATACATGCAAATCGAAAGGAAAACAGAATTCAATAGAAATAAACAAGAGGGTAAGGGTACCTTTGAGAATAACATTTCCAAGAGTTCGAGTTGCCTCCTTTTGAACAGCATCAACCCCAGACTCAGGTTGGGGAAGGCAGAACTCTATGAACAGAGAGTCAAATTTCATCATAAAGTTAAGAAAATGAGCAACTTAGAGAGAGAGTAACGGAACAATGACACATAATGTTTTCTTTTAGAAAATGAAGATACAAACAGCACACTATATACAATATATTCAGAAGAAAAGGGATCGTACCTGAAGTATCAATTTGAATATCAGATGCACCAGCAAGATTCCTGAATCTCACATTATAAAGCAATCAGAACACATTCATAGCATGATCAAACAAAAACGTTGAAAGTCCATTGAAGCATACATATCATCAGCGCTAAGAAGCATCTCCGCATCATTAAAATATTCAGCAAACCACCCTTCACATGACTGATCTAGGCCCTCATAACTAGAGGCTGATGCATTTTCTGCAATATTTCCTTATGGTTAAAAATCCAACTGTGTTTTTTTATCAAGTTCATTATTATTTATATGAAAACGGGCTTGCAGTAGAAACCTGAAAATCCATAAACCCACTCAGATGCGACCTCTTCAATCAAATTATCCCTTTCCTAAGTATTGAAGGAAGAAATAAAAAAATAAGACATATCAATAACCATGTTACATTTTAACCAAAATTCATAAATATTGACTTCATCTCTTGAAAAAATAACCAGTCATAGATCTATCATGCATATTTTTTCAAAGGCCACCGGAATAGGAAGAACTCGAGGACTTGTTTTAAATAAATAATTGAATTGTAGCAACGATAAAATTTGAAAATATCAGCAACCTCTAGCCAGTAAATGGAAGCAAAAAATAATCCGGATAATAGAGCTTTCATTCTTAGTAATACAAAAGGGTTAATTACCTCAATCATACATGAACTACACCAATTCTCTGTTTCATACAAAATGTTTAAAAATTCCCGATTTCATACATGATGTTTTCTACCGTTAACAGGTTTACCCATTTCCGTCCCAGAAGGTGATGTGGCACTTTAAATGGGTGCCACGTGGCATTCCCGTCACCCATTTCCGAAGTTCCACATGGCATTTTGTTAAGGGTTCCACGTCACCTTCCGTGACGGAAATGGGTGAACCTGTTGACGGTATAAAACATCATGTATGAAATCGAGAATTTTTAAACATTATGTATGAAACTGAGAATTGGGTATACTTCATGTATGAATGGGGTAATTAACCCAATACAAAAAACAACTATGATCAACTAATATGTCTAGCATCATGATTCACATCTAGTATATCAATCCGTGTCAGCTATTCAAAACAAAGTTGAACGATAGAAGTTTGGACAATAAAACATGATTCTTTTAAGTTCACAGGATTAGAAGAGTTATCAAGCAGTCACCCTTGATTTTAGGAAAGCAGATGGCATTGGCATCTCGTCACACATAAGGGAAGAATCTGCTGCATGGGTGTCAAATTGAAGCATTCTACGCCTTTTAAATTGTGAAGCAGTCTCCCTTATATCCTCTGATTCCTTGCTCGTATTATCTAAAGGCCACGGTCTTATTAGTTATTACTTCGAAAGGAAAGAGAAGAGCAGGCGTTATAATGACAATAAGTTTACAAAGAATTTCAAGTAACAAAAATTACCATTAAGAGTAATGTGATATGATAGATCCCCACATTCCTTAACAGGGGTTGCTTCATCACACATGTAGGAAAGGTCTTCCTCGTTCAAGGTCACTTGATTCAATTCACCTAGGGAGGCACCTGCTTGGATATTATTCAGACATCAGTAACCTATTGTCTTGAAACTTTTTATTCGACTTCCCTACTTCAAATATATTAACTAGATGATAACCTCAGGTAATAAATTACCAAAATCATTGTTATTTTGAACACCATAATTCTCCTCATGCCAATTCCAAGGTTCCCTGTCACTGATCAAACAATAAACAAAAATGAGTAAATCAATCACGCCAAAGCTAAAAGCCAATGCAGAGACTTCACAATGAATCATCCAATACTTTACCAAAATGGAATCCATGCTCCATTGAACCAAGCATTAAGCAAATCCTAAATTCGGTTTCTAAATAAATTAGGAATTAAATCACCAACATAATCCATAAAGCTAAATAGACAAAGGGAAAAAAGGAAAGTAAATTATCAGGATACACAACATCAAAACAGTAAATATTTCCACCTCACAAGTAAAACAACAAAAAGGAAAAGGAAAAAAGTAAAATTGAAGCATTGGATCCAAAAATTATTTATGAACCAAACTAATTTCACATGTAGAAAAATAAAAAGGACACCTGTACCATTTAGATCTAACAACAAGAAAAAGGGATCATAATCTATATGTTTTTCAGCACTGATGTTTAAACTAACCAAAAAGCAAAAGAACAAATTAAAAACACAGTGACCCACCATTTTAATGAGAGCCCACTCCTTCACGCTTTCAATTTAGCATTTTAGTTACTGTACAAAATACAAATCCAAAAAATCCCACTGCAAAAATCAAAACGATAAACAAAATCCAAGCACACCCATTTCCCAATTGCAGCAGTTTATCCATTAAACCCCCCACCCCGGCGCAAAATCAAGCAGAAACCCATTTCAGAAAAACTAGCATTGATCCAAAAAATGCAAATAAATTTTCATAAAATTATAAATAAAATAAAATAAAAACCCAGAAACAATATCATGCAATTTAAAACCAAATGACATCAAAGAGAAAAAAGAAAAAAAAAACTTTACCGATCATAGTTGTAATCCATTCTCTTCTACTTCCCTTCAAAAACTGAATCAAATCACATCCTTCCCCCCCCCCCTTATCTCAAGTCTTCACTTCTTCAACAACACGCTCAAAGTAGGCGTTACACAGAGATCGACAATTTCTTTTTTTCCCCACAATTTATCAAAGCGAAGCAAATAGCTCACACACAGATATAGATGTAAAATATCAATAAATATACCAATATTTTACTTGTATCATATAAAGCAGTGGAAGCAGCCCTTACTGCTTCTTCACAGCAGCCCTTACTGCTACTTCACAGCAGCCTTTACTATTTGCCCTTTTCTTGAGATATGCGTTATATATATTTTACAGTTTAAACTATTTTATTTTTGCTTTTATGTTATTAAGCAAAACAGAAAAGAACTATTCGGAGGATTAAATTTTGCTGATCTATCATTAATTTGCTAAGATTTCCTACTTTTATTTTGCCTTTTTTAAGTTCTTTTTCCCGGGAAACTGGTTCACGCGAATATTTATGGAGCGTGAGTCACGAGTTAAATAGGAAAAAAGAAAACTGCTTCTGGTAAAGTTTAAAATACCTGCTTTTATAAAAGAAGAGTTGAAAGAGGCGCGTGGTGGTGGACTTCGACAAGATATTAAGTAGAAATATAAGATGGTGGGGCCGTTTGCCGTGTTTTTTCGTTGGGGGAGTGAATTGTGAAATTGACATTTGATTAATAGGCTAAAGGAAAATATTAATGAAATTTATTCTATCAGGCCGAATGAAATTTAATAATTTAGGTTCCATTTTTTTAAATTAGGTAATGTTTGGTAACTAATTAAAAAAATATCTTACAAAAAATAATAATTTAAAATATATTTAATAATCTAAAATAGAAATCTTCTTACAGGTTTTTTTAAAAAAATTTGTGTGAAAATTTATATATAGCTAAGCATCTATTTACTACTTAATGTGAAATTTATTTCATGAAAATTATTTTATTTGTTTAATAAATAATTTAATATATTTTATAATAATTATTAATATTTTAATATTTTTAAACTTTAACAATTTTAAATTTTTATCTAAATATTGAATAAACTCTCAAATTCTTTATAAAAATCAATTATGACGTCAAACTTAACTGAAAACAATTAAACTTCTTTGTCTATTATTATTGATTCGTAAATTATCACTTCAGTATCATACATCACCACATCAACAACAATAATTTCCATCGATCAAAAGACTATTAATACAATGCATGAAATCTAAAATTTCATTTAATACAATTAAAAATAATAAATATTATTGATTTAAAACGATTACGATAATAAAATTTCTTATCATTAGATCTTAAAAGGTATCATCATAATTTTATTTTATGTTGTTGATAAATATGTTAAAATAGTTTAAAATTATAATAAAAAATAAAAGCACGTGAATATTGTGTTGCGGAGGTTAGACCTAGGCTTCTACGAATTTAACAGTGTTATTTGCGGTGACTTTGGCTCGTGCAAAATGAGAGTGATTATTGGCAATCTAATTCCAGCAAAGGTCGATATGCTAATTCATAAACTAATTCCACTTTCAAGGTATGCACACTAAGCTCGACTTAGCTTTACCTTTACCTCTGCCTCTACCTCTACCTTTAGAGTAGACGATGCCGGAATGTTTATCTCTTGATATCGAACGATACCGGCTGCTCCTCCGTAGCACAACCATCTATCGCTACCCTTGTTCACGTTCCATCTCACTCTATGTATCGCCAAAATCTTGGCCTCGATTCCACTTTCAGCTTCTTTTCCGGATCCTTCTTTCTCTTTTTTCATTGGTTCTTCGGTTCTCAGTGCCAACGCTTGATCAGCATCACCTTTCTTCTTGCCGTCACTTTTAGATTTTTGCTTCAGTTTGGTTTTCAGAGCTGCCAATGTTTCCTCGGGTTCGGATTCCACACTGGTATCGTTGCTATCACAAAGTTTTGCAACAGATTTAAGAACACACTGGCTGTTACAAAAGAAACTTGGAATATCTGATTGGCAGCTCAGTTGTGAATGCTTGCCTAAAATTTGTTTATCAGAAGATGGAATCATTGCCTTCCGGCCATCACAAAGTGCTGCAACAGATTTAAGAACACGTTGGCTGTTACGAAATAAGCTTGGAATATCCGATTGGCAACTCAGTTGTGAAAGCTTACCTACAGTTTGTTTATTAGATGGAACTATTGCCTTCCCATCCTTCGCATGGATCTTTTTTCATCCACACAGTCATTATTCGGCTTCTTCAACGGCAGAGGAATATTTGGTAATGGAGTATTAACTATTACAGCGGAATCATCCTTGGTAAAGGATCCACATGCAAAATGCGGGGTTCGATTTCGTGAAAAATCTTTCTCCACTGCTTTTGAGTTAAGCTGGTTATAAAAACAATAGTATCAATCGATGCAAAAACTTGGAAGAGGTAGCTTACGGATATAAGACAAGTGGTTTTAAATTTTATTTTGAAGGAAATTTCAAGCAGCGGTATCACATAATTTCTTGATATACAGCATCAACGAAAGCACTCGAATAATTTTACACTGCCAGTTGACTGAAACTAAGGACCAAGACTCTGTACCTTAAGAAGTGGAAGAAACATGATTTGCTAGAGAAATGCAGAAGGTTAAGTAACAAAAATAACTCGTATAAATAATTTTCGACCAGTCTCCAAGATGAATTCTCATTGGAGAAAGAAAGAAAAGAAAATATTTACATCTTGGAAACAAAGTCTGTCAGGGGATAATTAAAGCAAGCATTGAAAATAAAGGTAAACCGACTCGCCTGAAAGCACGTTGTAGCACCATCTGCACCGCAATATGCCACCATACCTAAAATTTATATTCACCAGCCGATCTAAATTTGGAAACGACAATTTGAAAATCAAGTTGTTCATCAACCCACTTTAATAGTCAAATATTACACTTGTAACCACCAATAAACATTTGCAGTGACATGCAAAGAAAAAAAAGATGGAGAATACTAGATCGATAATTAGTGCTGCAGCAAAAATACTAGGTCGATAATTAGTATCTCACAAACTGAAAAAATATAAATAGTTTGTCACATGTAGAATGGTTTTATGCTCACAAACGATTTAATCTAAAGAATGTAGAGCCCATGTTATACAGCATCCACCTTGTGGAGCAAAATTTCTTTCTACTCTATGCCTACACAAACACAACTCTAGTCAAACAGTATTAACCATATATGATCTTTTTTTCTAACATATCTTATTCTTTAAAAGGTTTTCCAATTTCCGCATATCTAGATTCCCCCCCCCCCTACAGGCATATTAGGTCCACTGCAAATTTTATTATAATGAAAGCAAAAGTTAATCATATAAGAAAATCACTGCAAGCATACCTGTTAACTGCGACACTTGTACACTCCAGATGGCAAAGGATGAACAATTATAAAGGTGCAGTCCTTGTTGCTTGGTCCCCCCAAAAGGTTTTCCAGTGCCAGGAACGTCACATGCTGCATGAACTAAGCTGAGAAGTCTCATTGTTCCATCGTCAAGGATATCATAACACATCTACAGACATGAAAGGTTGTCTCAATTCTAGTCGAAGAGAAGACCATCAATTCCAATGAAAACAATAGGAAAGCGGTCGTGTACAGCCTACCTTGGTTCTAGCGGCCAATCCACACTATACATGAACTTTGGTGCCGGATGGACATCCCACAATGGAAGAAATGGATCACTGCATACACCCGTCAAACAAGAGCTCTTAAGGAACATGTAATCATGCTACCATAGCATCTTGAACAGGTTAAATTCTTAGAGATAAATGCTCCATACAACATCCATATATATATATATATATACATGCACAACATACTGAGAGAACACGTTCTGAGTGCTAATAGTTGAAAGGAACCCACAATTCAGGTCCATTCCCTTAAAATAATGGAAACCTATTTAACAGTTAACACATGCAAATGTGCCCTAAATGGAATCCTAGAGAATTACAATTCTTGTAGAAGTACTAAATTCAAACTGTCAATAATTCAGAACTTAAAGGGAAATAGGAAATCACTCTGGTGCCAACTGAACTTAAACTCTTGACTATGCAAAAATTTAAATGTTCCCACTTAAGCCAGCAACCAAAGAAGATCAAGTACGTGTATAGATCAAGTTAAGCATAAATTGATGTGCACAATTTTTCATCCTAATTGCTAATTACTTCAACTAAATATGCATAAAATGCAATACAAATGCCCATTGTTGGCAAGGCACGTGCCTTAGCGGCAGACAACAAAGCGCCTCAAACCCTGGACAATACTAGACATGCAAGTTCCTTTATCATACACTCAACAATAGCTACAACTCTAATTTGTGGTGATTTACAAGTGAAGGTAAAAATGAATTAGAAGAAACACTGAAGAGAATCGAGCAAACTCCATTCACTAGTACCAAGAAAAATAAAAATAAGTTTGTCTTTCTCTGTCGATAAACACTGTAACTTCAGCTGAACCTCCTATGTCTCTGTAAGCTTCAATAAATCATGAACTTTCATGGCACTTAGAAAGAATCCTAAAGAAAATGGACTACATAATGGTAAATTAAATAGTAAACATAAACTCAGTCTACACTATTGATATATGTCATGCAATATGACCTCCCTAAGAAGATTTTTTTTTTTGATAGGAATAGAAGGCCTCATTAAAAACCTCCCTAAGAAGATTTTAAAGTTTAATTAATCTTTAGAACTATACAGTCAAAGAGTTCAATCTTAAGAAACAGAATAAAGCCACCAAGCATCTGCAACTGAGATGAATGCATAGGGAACATGAGTGCATGACAAGCAAAAGCTCAAAGATAACTGAGATACAAAGCGATTAAACTTAAACCAGAACATGGTATCAAGGTTACCGTATGTCCCAAAACTTAAGACCTCCATGTCCAGCGGTAAGAATAACATTTGAGCTCTCCATATCACTGAAATTCAACAATAGAATTTTAATTACAACAATCGGGAAGCATCATAGTATCAAACATACAAGTTGGTAGACTAGGTCAACAATATTTATAACTAGATCCATATAATATTTCAGTTTTCTTAATGAAAGGGGCTTAAATCTGGTTGTCTGACAAAAATAACTGGTTAATAAAGTAGTTCCAATTCATTAGCAATACAGCAATAGTCCAACAGAAAACACATAGCCCATAACCTTTGAAACTCAAAGAGAAAAAAAGATAGGTACAATATCTACGAAAGGTCACTCCCTTTGCATTTTAGCCACCAAATTCCCAGAATATATTGTTTAAAAACAGAAGAAGAGGTATTGCTACATCAAATTTAGTCCGCAAAAGGAATACGGCAGACATCACTGACCTTGATGGGGCCCATGCAACTGATCTAATTGGAACTGTATCTGCACTAAAACAAAGCAGAGGTCTCGTATCTGCATAATTACAAAGTGCAAAATAAAATTCAAATAGTACTTTGATGCCAATAATCAAAGCCTTTATTCAAACCACATCAATAACCAACTTCTTTTACTAATGTATTACCATTAACTTTAGGTGAACCACTTGCTGTGAATTTCCACAAAGCCACCTGATATTAACCATGTTAGTTTTTGATGCCAGAGAATTCAAAATTACGAGTAAATGATAATCTTAATAATTGAAGTGGTAATAATAGGAAAAATATAAACAAACCAGAAAATGTTCTATTGAAATACTAAGGCAGGAAAAACTTATTTTACAAATATTCCCTGGAAAAGTTACATTGATTATGCAGAAAATTTGTAAACAAATTAGAAAAGTTCTAATGCCCTTTTATCCAAAGGCATGATATTGATTCTATAAAGTGTAACACCCCAACCCGTACCCGACCCGGATACGAGTCCGAGATGTCACGTTGACTTTTTGAAACAATATTCTTACAAAATAACAAAACATTTGAACTCATATTAAGAAAATACAATAATATACCATTAAATTATGTTTCATTATAAAAATTTAACTCAAAAATATATTTATGAACAGTACTATACGGTATGAACAGTGCTACAGTGTACCGATGCATTGCTACAGTGCACCGATGCACAAAAATTTACATGTCGACTTATTTTCACATAATAAGACATACTATTTAATCTACTTCTGATCTAACCTTCAAGTGGAGTTATATTGTTTTGCTGAGCTTATAATGGATCTCTCTCCTTTTCGGTACCTATGTGTAAAACACTTACACGCTAAGTCATAGACTTAGTGAGGTATAACATATAATAATAACAATGCATTTCATATACATATGAAAATATCATCTACTTATTCAATCATGTCATATATAATTCCATGTAAATAATAATAACATGATAATATGTAATAATGCAAACACTTTTTATACCTTTTTGTAAGCCTATGTACATTACTGAGAACTCAAGGTATTCGAGTACATTGAGGTTGTGCACTATTGTTGTCACCACAGCTCATATGGGGTCCCACTAGGGGCATGTGAAATTTGTCCCGAAGGACCTATGTATTTGTCTCGAAGGACCTATGTATTTGTCTCGAAGGACCTCTGTATATGTCCCGAAGGACCGCGTAAACCCTCGACTCTTGGCATGCCAACTATACGTATAGCTTTCGTATCATATACCATGGGCATTATTCTTATGTTTCTTATGTTCATATACTCATGTCATTTCTCTTGTGATCACATATACCTTTTCTTCTGTCACATACCACATGTATGTGTAAACATCTATGTCATTTCATATAACATGTAATACATATTGCATATTCATGTAAGCAGGTATAGCATGTCACATATAATATACTATACCCATTTTCATGTATTCATGCACATATAAGAATCACAAATCAAATAACATTTTAGGAGCCACTTCTTACCGTAATAACTCCATCACTGGCTCATCGCAAGCCAATGTTCGTTCAATAGCATAAGTACAATTAAAATTGCACTCACCTTAGCCTTGCTTGCTTTGAATAAATCCTAATCCTTAGATTGTTCCGGAATTCGTTTAGGCTCTGTATCTACATAAATATAATTTTCAAGAAGATTATCAGAAGCCTAAACCTTATACTTCGATGCTATTAACTTAAACGAATTTAATAAACTCATATTCCTAATTTCCTTAAGGAGTGTACCGATGCACCCATATGTTCGAAATTCCCATGCATCGATGCACCCCTTAATGCATCGATGCACCTTCAAATTTTGTCTTAGTGCATCGGTACCCATTCATAGTGTATCGATGCACATGTCCAGAATATCTGAAAACCATCTACACTTCACCCAAATTTTCATGTATACAACCCTTATTATGCTACTAAACTCATCTATAACAACTTTAACTAATTTCTATCATTCCAACACTTTATAATCTCCCATATTTCATCCAAATTCTTAAGGCTAAAATCATCCCAAATTTTCCATGTTATCCCAAATTATCTATATATCGTTTTGACTGTGTTAATGGTTTGTGAAGATCGTAAAGTCGATGCCCAAGATCTTCGTTCGAAGCTGCAAAGGAAAAGTCTCCAAAATGTGTCTCAAAGCGGAAGGGGAACTCTCTCAGGTGTACGCGATCTTCGTGAAAAATTATCAGGAACAATGAATACACAGCCAATAAATGCTGATCCACCGACACAGAAAGTAAAAGTTGCCCAACCAGCCAGGAAAAGTGTAGCAGTTGAAACTCCTGAACCAGAGCCCAAAGGGGCTGCAAATACAACAGCAAGAAAGAAAGCTAAGCAAAATGTATTTAGCTTCTTCTCTTTTTGCTTTTTAGCACCTTCCCTTACATTTTGTAGTCTTCTGTTTGTTGGACAAGCATGATACGTCAAAGCTTTGGTTTTTGTCTGTACCTTCTGCTAGAGGTGTATGCATGTGTGGGCGGGTGGGGAAGGGGTTCAAAATCTTGCCATCTAATGGTATGCATATCCCATGGGCTTCATTTCAATCCATGATGAATCGAACCAAGTGAAATTGCCCCACCACGGTATGGATATTGCCAGGTCTTGTTTTCATTGATTTGGAATGCACAAGGAAATCAACTAGGTTAAGTTCCACCTGTCAACTCTGGATTGTGGACTAAGATTAACACATTAACTGAAATTGGATTCTGCATAGTGTTGGCAGGTTCAAAGTATAATTAGTGGGAAAACAAACCATGTTAAGCCATATGATGCTTAAGAATATTTGCCAAGTTAGGGATTGTGTGGAATATGGAAAATAGGTCACTTAAATGCTTTCTGGTTTTCTCTTAAATGGAATGGTAAATCTCTCCATGTTTGCATAACTATACTTCTCTTTTGTTGTTTCCGACATAAGAGGCATTCCTCCATTTTTGAACTTATGATGATTCCGCAGTTTAAGCAGTGTGCTTTCATATGCAGACTGATACTTCGGTAGAGGGCTTCCTCCAGTCTTTGGGTCTCGAAAAATATGCAATCACTTTTCAAGCTGAGGAAGTGAGTTTTCTACGTTCCTTTGTATATTGTAAACAACCCCCCCCCGGGACTCTTCATCATTACATAAATTAAACAAATATCTGCATCCGTTATAAACCCCCTTCTGCAGGTTGATATGGCTGCACTTGTACACATGACTGATGAGGATCTAAAAGTTTTAGGCATACCAATGGTAACTTTAAATCATTTTATCCAGTTCCTTAAATTTGAGATGCCCCAAATGTTATTTCTCTTTTAAAGCACCAAGGCATATCTTCTTAACTCTACAAGAATGTCCCTTTTTATCATGACCTATAAAATCCCTTTATTTTGCCTGCTTCTTTTGAATTCCTTCTACGTGCATATGATCATTTGGAGGTATTATTGAAATTAACTGTTATATGCAAGTTAATGCTGGCCTTTTGAAAAGAAATTGGAATTTTTGGAATGTACTGATAATTGGTGCTGAAGGGAGTTCTGGGAAATTCTTGTAAGTCACTTTAGTTCCATCTGGAGTCCTATACAAATGTCTGTGCCTTTTGCTTGTGGTCTTTAAAGAACCCCCTTCGCCCATCAACCCTTCACTATTGAAAGCATTTTTTATCTCTATATTCAACTTGTTTTTCTCTTCCCTTTACTTGGTTTCAGTTATCTTTTGTTTGTACCTCCAGGGCCCAAGGAAGAAGATAATTCTGGAGCTAGAGTCAAGAAGCTGATATTCGGAGTTTTAGCAACAAGTGGTTGTTGCCTGTTGAATCTAAAGATATATTAACAGTTGATCCTAGGATATTGCAAGGCTATGTTTTGGCTGATAAGAACCTGCATATGTAGCTATTCTTCCCGGTATTTCATGTTGAAATTGATTAACAAAAACATGCCTTAGTGAGCTTGTTATTGAAATCAAAGGATGGAATGTTATTAGATTGGAAGTAGGTGGAAGCCCTTTAGCATTTAGAAACTTTAAACTAACTAATTTGCTGCATTGTCTCGATTTATATCCTTGGAAGCTTTCAAAAATCTAAATCCAATTGCTCGAGCTGAAAACCATGTGCTAACCTACGTTATCATACAAGTTCGTGCTTTATTTTTCTCCGGCTACCAATTATATACCGGGATTATGAGGTTAAATTATGTAGTTTTCTTTTGCTCTGGGGTTTGTGTTTAAAAAAGAAAAGGTTTGGCTCAATAATACATTGCACTACTATGATTCTATCATCAACTCAAGAGTTTCATCAAACAATAATCAGCATACATCCAAAACTAAGACTCGTCAAAATAGTCTCAAATTCAGCAAATTTGATAAAAATCTCCATGGATGCAAGCCAGCATAACGTGTTTAGAAAATTGACTTTCAGATCCTGTATGTTTCTTGAATTTCTCACATGGCCGATAAGAGTCTTTCCTCTTGCCTGCTGAGGCCTTTACTTGATGTCAGTCTTCGATCCAGAGAATTACTTAAGATGATGTGTTTGCTTTAGCCTTCCAAACTAGGTACTTGGCCTTTTCTTGCTTATATCTTCTCAGTTCTCTTAGAGCTGCTAGCACAACATGCATCGAAACTGGCAAGAAGAATGGCTGCAAAAATAGAACAACCACTGAGTTCGAGCCTTGTCCAACAAATCAATGCTACTGGTGAACTTGTAATAATTTGTTTCGATGAACAGAAATAGTTCACCAACCAGAATTTATAAGAAAGATGACTCAGAAAAAGAATGCAGAATGCTATGTTGTAAAGGAAAGGAACAGTAATTCACTGGATTGCAAATAGAACTCAAAGCAAAATCTCAAAATACAAAGTACTAAAAAGCATGCTTTTGTAAGAAAATCTCAGTTTCTCCTCAATTTTTATATATATAGAGAGAGAATAATGTCATTTAACTGACCGAGTAGACAGCAAAGCAGTGCTCAAAGGAATAGTAGCTAACAGACATAATAGATGGGTGGAAAAAGGCATCCTCTGCCAGAGACCTTGCTTGACTTGAGGCGGCTGACCAAAAAGGTGTAAATCATTTGTTAGGCAGCCGAATCGATAAGAGATTTGAATGGTAGATAATCAAGACAATTGAACTTCAATCTACATGTAAATTTAGGAAAATACCAGCTGAAGATTCATACGCTCCACTAGATGCATTACTTAGTGCCAGCTTTGCTGCCTCAAGAGAAAACTTTACCTTGTCGAAGACACCACCATAAATAGTTCAATGGTTATTTTCAAACAGAGTTAAAAAGCAAGTACTCAGATAAATGAACTTATAGTCCAACGTAGTATCTTACCTGTTTTCCTATATCATCCATGATAATCATCCTTGGCAGTGATTGAACCTGCATTAAAATTTGTCATCAGTGGCAAAAAATCTTATTGAATCAGATGGTCATTTTTAATACCAATGAACACATACCAATCTTGAAAGAGATACAAGTGTTGTGGCACAAGAATGAAGATTAAAACATGTATGCTGTCGTGACAAGACATCCAATTCCCTGGACAAGAATTGAAAGTAAGAAAACTCGAACACAAAATGAACAACTGATCAAGACAAAACTATGCCTATTCTTTTAAGAAATATTTGCTGGAATTTAAAACTTGCTGATCAAACCACTACAAATTGAGTTCATTTTGAACTAATCCATTATTTGCCGGGAACTAGAAAATGTAACTATTAGGCAAAGCTTGGTAGTTGCATAGGATTTTCTTACCACTCAGTAAAACCTCTTTCACTAGGCAGAAGGTTCCAATCGCCTGAGGCACCAGCATAAACATTGACAGATTTAAAACCAAAGAGTTGCCGGAACTGCCCAATGAATACTTCAAACATGTTCTCAAGATCCTGTTTAAGAACGTTCATGCATCAAAGTAGAGAAAACTAATGGAACCATGTGTATGGAAGAGATAGAGAGAGACAGAGCAGAAGAGGAGAGGGGGCAGCAATTTTTTGTTGAATTAGTCGTGCATCATCTAACCTGTATTGGAATTATGTTCTTGGCACTGGGCTCAAATTCTGAATCATTTAAACAGCCTTGGGGATTCCAAACAATAACACCTCCCCACATCTAAAAGGTTTCATGAGAAGTAATAAGGTAATGCAGCCTCACAGAATAATTAGTAGTGAAAGCATGAATATAATGAAGTCTAGATAACTAACTGGAGATATAAAGCCATTTGTCTTGGAAATCTCTCCATTTGGTAGCTGGAGAAGAAGAGGGCATTCCTTTGCAGATGGTACATATCTGGTGACAAAGGGAAAAATGAACACCTTGAGAAAATGACTTGCAAGCAAATCACAAATATGAGAGCGAACCAGAGAGGTTATTGAAAAAGGGCATATCAAAGCAGGCTGGCATTCCTGAATCAATATTTTCTCCCAAAATGGACATTGAACAAAAAAAAACATTGACAGGAATGGAACCACGCAGTTATAGGCTGATACACCCTTATAACTCAATAAATGCAATCCGTATTTACAGTTAAGAAATAAAGGAAGCATTGAATAAAAGAATATACACCGCAAATTGCAATATATTTGACCGCCCACCAGCTGCAATTGAAGTATCCAAGTGCCATTCATTAGAATTTACCTGTTAAAACCATGAGCTCCATTACAACCAATATCTGACATTTCTTGTGTCCAAAAAGCAATAATTGCAGAAACATACAATAATTCAAATATAGGGCATCAATCTTTTATCAATAATATACAGAAACAGAAGCAGAAAATACTTAGACACATACAAAGAAAGGAAGATCTTTGGTGCTAAAGACATAGCTCTCCAACTTTTGATTCCAAAAAGAGAATGAGGCCTTTGGGGTATGGTACAAAACCTACGAGACCAATGAAACAGCAATCAGAAGTAAACCAGAATGCAAAATACAAATGAAATGAAGAATGAAGATGACCCTCGACCTGACTCTCTACACTGATATTTGCCACGGGTCCCAAAGCCTCAATCATAGGGGCCAACAAGGTATCATCTATCTTCTCAAAATCCCTGCAGACCAATAAAAGGAAACATCAGGTGAGCAAAATGCACCACCAGCATAACACATTCTAACTATAACAAGTTTCGTTTACAATTACATTATCAAACAGTTCCCCAACTAAAGATTTTCAATATAAACAAACAGAATCAAAACAAAACCAGCAAACGTTTGAAAATGGATCAAATTTGCAAAAAGCTGTAACGGTTAACATATAAATGTTCCATACCAATCATAAACCCAATCAAGTGGATCCGCATTGAGCAAATTGAAGGAAAGAACGATTTTTCCATCAGCCCCGACTGGCATAAACTCGTTCCGAATAGATCCTTCCTCTCTTCCACCATTAATAAACAACTTGACCAACAGCTCAGCAACTTTCACCGCTGCAACCTCCACCTTCCTCCCACCGCCAACTACCATCCAGGCGTGCCTATGCTTCCCCACAACAGCTCTCTCACTCCCACCCTTCACCACCGCCACAATGTACTCCTTAGTTTTCCCGCCAAAAACCGAGACCAATCTCTCATCGACCGCCACGTCATCGTTCTGCACAAAATCAGTGGCGGTGACTGATCCGCACGGGTATGAACTCGAATGTGGAGACGAGACTGGGCTGTGGAGGCAATGGGAGCCTAAATCCACATTGACGGAGAGAGTATAGCTGTTGGAGCATTTAGGGTTCTGAGAGGTTAATTTGGTAATTTCGAGTAGGATTGACCGACGGAGGTGATCGGGATCATGATCGAATCCGACGAAAAGGGCGTGGAAATGGAGCGGGAAGAGTAAATTGTCGGATCGTAGCTGAGTCGAGAGCGAGTCGATTTCGCGAAACGGCAGAGGAGAACGGTAGATTTCGACGGATTTCCATAAGAATGGGAAACCTGCAAATTCAATACGAAAATTAAAACAAAAATAAGAAGAAAACAAGACTCGTTTATTTATTAAGAAACCAAAGGGATGAATTTAGAATTAAAGCTGTGTCGGAGATATAGAGGCGGACCGAGGAGGAAGGAGAAGAGGACGGAGAAGGTGAGAACGAGGCGCTTCAATCCGGGTTTGGTTTTACGCATTAACTTCGGGTCGAAGTCGGGTTCAGATTCAGGTCGCTGTGGTGCTTCACTACCATTGTCTTGTAATTCGGAGGAATCGGAGTCGTTAGCTTCTGAGATTTCGGCCATTGCTGGAGAAGCTGCTGCTACACTCTGAAATTACTAGGCTTAGATAGTTGAAACTTGGATGGTTAAAATTACATATATAATTTTTAATGAACAAGAACAGTGAGCCGTCTTAGCTCAGCCGGTAGAGCGCATGGCTTTTAACCATGTGGTCGTGGGTTCGATTCCCACAGACGGCGTCTTTCATTCTCTACCCAATTTTCTGTTCAAGTTTTGGGTTTTTACCATCGGATGATTCTGGAAGGCACTAAGCCGACAGCTCAACTTTTACCATGGCCAGTAAGGCCTGTGTTAGCTTGATGGACTTGGAAATGGGGGAGGAAATTTGGCGTAAAGCTCTGTGAATTTTGAATATCTAAATGAAGTGTTTGTAGCGTCTTTCATTTTGAATTTGTATGTTAAGTGCGGGAAAATGGATGAGGCGACGGTGGTGTTTAACAAGATGCCGAGGAAGGATCATGTCTGTTGGACTAATATGGTAACAGGGTTTGTGCAGAGTAGGCAGGCAAGTGGGGCGATTGATTTGTATAGAAAAATGCAAATGGCAGGGAATGAAGGAGATGATGTTGTGACGTTGGGGTTGGTTCAGGCATCTGTAAATCTTGGCGACTCAAAGTTGGGACTGCAATTCATGGATATATGATTAGGAAATGTCTCTCCAAGGATGTCGTGGCTGAGACTAGCATTCTTGCTATGTATACTAAGAATGGATATTTGGAATATGCTTTGCGTGTCTTCAAGAAGATGCCAAGTAAGAATGATGTTTCTTAGGGTGAATTAATTTCTAGCTTTTGTCGGTAGAGATGCAGGGTTGTGGTTTTAAACCGGAATCGGTGCCCCTTGTGGGTGCTCTTATGGCATGTTCACAATTTGGGTTTTTAAAATTGGGTAAATCTATACATGGTTGAATCACTAGAGGGCTTGATTTGGAACAAGTTTCGGGCACTGCAATGATTGACATGTTTGCAAAATGTGGATTGCTTTCTTATGCTCGTGCAGTCTTTGATCGGATAGTTTCGGTAGATATGATCTCTTGGAATGCATTGATTGCTAGCTATGCAGTACATGGGCATAAAGGAAGCTCTATCACTGTACAGTCAGATTACAAACACGAGCTTAAAACCTGATCATGCAACTTTTGCTGCACTTCTCTTGGCTCTCAGCCACTCGGGACTGGTGAATGAAGGTCAATACTGGTTTAATCTGATGGTTGATGAATATAATATCCAACCGAGAAGCATTATGCTTGCATGGTTGATCTTTTAGCTTGTGCAGGACGTTTGGAAGAAGCTTATAAACTAATAGGGTCTACGAACAAGAAATCAGGGGCGGCCGTTTGGGTTGCTCTACTGTCTGGCTGCTGTAATCATGGGAAGCCGTCAATTGGAAAAATGGCAGCAAAGGTCCTTGAGTTAAATCCAGATGACGTGGGAATTCATGCATTGGTCTCAAATATATTTGCCAATGGAAACATGTGGGATGAAGTAGCTGCGGTACGTAAACTCATGAAAGACGCGGGAAAGAAGAACGTACCTGGCTACAGTGTCCTGGATGTAAACGGGAAGAACCATGGTTTCCTTATGGGAGATGAAAGCCACCATGAATTCGAAGCTATAGCATTTGCATTGGATAAATTGGACCGTTAGATGATTTTCATGGTCAAATGAAGAGGCTTCCTGTTGCTATTGGCCTCTCAAGCTCAGCTTCATCGATCCTCACTGCTGGTCATGAGAAACTTTAAGGTGGGTGAGAATGACTGTTCGAAGCAAGTTTTATCGTTGCAAGGATCATATATGGAGGATTATTGCAGGAACAATAAAGCAGGTTCTTCACTCCAAACTGTCAAAACTGCCTTCGCCCTTCAACGATGCAGCAAAGAAATCCAGCCTCTCTTAAATTATGTTCTGCCATTTAGATGAAGTATATATGTAAGTACTCCTTTCTATACTGTCATTTGTTTTGACATTTTAGAAAATTAAAGCACGATGTTCCCAACTTTTTTATGTGTTAATTTTCACTTTTTAGCTTAGCAAAGTTAATATGGTGGTAATAGCAAACTCCATCCTGCTTATGACAATTCCGGCAAATGGACACTGCAGAAGAAATCTGAGAACCAAATACTTACTGTTGATTTGCTTCTTAATTAGTTTTTTAGTATTAAAGTAAACTAATCTAAATAAGGCTAAATTTAGTTATGTCAACAATTAAAATTTCATGAGTTACAAAAATTTTCAACAACGCAGAGACCTACTTCCCCCCACTTGCACAGATCCATTTAGTCTCTTTAAGAAACATAAATCAATACCCTAAACACTTTTTCTTTTCACCCAGCCCTTCAACATTTCCTCAACTCTTGTATCCCGAAGCATGATTCTGAAGGTTTTGGTTATCTTCTAATAAACGATCATACTCAAGTAGCAAATCTGCAGATTGCTTTTGGAGAGCAGCAACATGCGCTTCTGCAGTTTCGATCTTCTTGTCTTTCTCTTCAGATTCCGACTTCAGCTTCTTCAGTTTCTCTGATAGTGTAGAGATTTCTTCTTTTAGTAGCTTTATCTCCTTGGAGGCTTTGTCGTCCTTGTCTTTAAGCTGTGATCTTTCTTTCTCGAGATGTTCGAGTTCCACTTTTGAAGATCCCACCCTACTCCTTAACCCAATAAGCTTTTTAATATAATGGTGCATACGATCAATTATGAAACCGAGTAACAGGGTAAACCTACAAGTTCAGACAATCACAATTATGCACCGATACCACTAAACAAAAGAATAAAAGCTTCTTCATTTCACTTGATATTACAAGCTTGAAGCTCACTCAGTTTATAATCAATGACTGAACAATTCACTTCAATTTTCAGATCACTAAAATTCAGGGATCGCAAAGGAAAATATTTAACTTCCAAAAATCCTCAAAGTTTTTGTCAGAAAAATCACCATGCCGTAAACCCAAAGGCCGTAAAGCTATGAAGGATTGGAGGGTAATACATCAACACGACTTTATATTTCCAAATTCCGGACATAAAAATGATGCACACGCATAATTTAAGCAATGAAAAATAAAGATCTCTACACCTCAAAACAGGGTACATATCCAGAATGGTTAGTGAGAGTTCAGTCAAAACCTTGTCACAGAAGTTCCATGAAATTGAACGGATATACCAGATGTTAGAAACCTTCAACATTTGATCTCATTATTAGAACAGTTCCATATAAAATTCTCTTCCATTCCAAACCCTTTATATTTGCAGATAAAATAGCGGTGTTCTTGCCCTAAACACCTTGAACTAAGTACAATGCATATAATAAAGCTTCAAACTGTTTAATTTTAAGCAAGGTTTTTATCACAAGACATCTTAAACTTTAATTTGGTATCCAATGTAAGTATAACCGTTGCATATCTAATCCAGAATTAACAATAGGTTAAGAAGGGTTTATGATGTGAGAACATACTAGTTACAAGACCTGGTAAAGTTCATAGTGATAATAGTCATGTCAGCTATGTTACAGACAATCGCTTATTTGATCCGACTGCTTCTAATTCTACATGATCCACAAAGTTAAAACAAAATGTAGAAATGATAGATCATATATATATATATATATATATATATATATATATATATATATATATATATATATATTTAAGTCGGTAATTGCAGAGTTTTGGTTACTCCATTTTTCACTGGAAAGCCAACAAATATCACTCCATTTCTCAAATATCTGATGGCTCAATGAAGTCTGGACAAGAGGAAACCGGTTAAAAGTCCACCAAGAGATGGAATTGTGAAGTGAACCGTTGGGGTAAATATCGGAAACAATAACTAGCTAACTACATGTGAGAATGCTGCCATGGAGGCTGAGAGTGATGAAAGCTGGTGGACTGAGATAACAAATGGAGGAGGAGGAAACTTAAAGATAGAGAGATGACAGAATGAAGTTTTTATTCAACATTGAAGAAATACTCTGCCTACAACCTAATACAAATATGGCTTATATAGCCCAAGTAAGCAACAAATCATAACAAACTAATAACAAATACTAACTAATATTTATTAACATTCTAATATTATAATACTACACCATACTTATTGATGGATATGTGGGTTCATAGGAATGAGGAAAAGACAACAACGAACCCCATACAACTGAAATAACCAAACACTCTACACAGCTAACTTCCAAAAGGTCTTGAGTTCAATTCCGCATCATCAACTATCGAATACAAATTTTGTTTCATTTTCCAAAATGCTCTAATGACTTGTCAAGCAAATGGACCTTCAATCACACATTTCAAAAGGCTATTGTTCTATAATGGTTTGAACACTGAATGATGCGTCATGTATCAATATCTATAACATTTTACCGTCGGTGAGTGACCATGTATTAAGTCTACTGACTCTTCATTAAGAGCCATTGACAAAATTCTCATTAAAAGATTAAAGCACTATTAATTTCCGTATGCAGAAATCAACTTAATGAGTCGATATAGGTAAACTGGTAATAAGACCCTATAGCTTATGTACCAGATTTCATGATATGTTAATATATTAACATTGCTTTCCCTGATACATAATGTTAATCTCAAATTCAGAAAGATGAACTATTGAACGACCTCGTGCGTTAGTCTCCACTATATACCCGTGCAGTTGTCCTCAGCCGCAAAGTTTGTTCGCATAGTTCCGACATCTACGTTTCTAGCGTTTTCCAAGTCCTTTAAGGTGTTCATTACATTCTAGGAGTTATTTCCTACTATTTCAGTTGATTAAGCACAACCTTAAAACCAAAGGTACCCGTTCAACATTGTAGACGCTAAAACAAAGGCAATAATTGAACAGTAGAGCAAAAACACAAAATTACTAACAGATGAATGCAAAAACCCAATGAGGCATGATAAAGAAGCAGATCATACCAATGAGTGAAGCTTCAAGCAAGTGGGTTCTCCATAGAACCTGATCCATAGGTGACATAGTTCCGAGCTTCGCACCCTTGTTCTGGATCTTGACAATGCTCGTGAGATTCGACAAAAGGATTACAGACATGGTACCAGCAATAGTTTTCACAGTAGCTGGACCTTTCCCCATCTTTATTTGATCTAAGCTCTTTATGACGAGCTCTCTTAAAGGCCCAATCTTCACCAGTAGAAGAAGCGCCATTACACCCTCAGCAAAAAGGACCAAGAACAATAACTGAATCATCCTAAAACACTTGATTTTGACTCAATGGTTATCGATCGTTCATCGGGTAAAGGGAAAAAAAGGGGAAATCGGTAGAAACGAGTGGGATTTCTTGGTTCTGGTAGCTGGTATTTAGTTTTGTTTTGTTTTTTTTTTACAAGAAATCGAAAATCCGCGTTTCAGTGAAGTAGGAATTATCTTTGGAAAACACTAAAAGATGTACACATTTAGCCCTAGTGTAGAAAGCAAGAAGCTCTTTTGGAGAAACTTACTAGTGTTTCTGCTTTTTCTTTTCCTTTCCTTTCCTTTCCTTTTTCCTTCCCTTTTTCCTTCTTCACAGCTGAGTTGATTCGTGTAACTTTTTTATTTGTTTATTTTAGAAATTGATTCGTGTAAATTAATGGATTAAGCTTGCGGATTAGTGGTGTGTGATCTGCTAATGGTCTTGCTTTTTAGGCAAAAGGTGCATGAAATAAACATTACTTTAGGTTATGGACTTATGGGTTAATTGTTATTATTAATAATTTTATTAAGTGATTTTTTTTTGTTATTGCCTTCCGATTTCAAGATTTTCCATGACTTAAACTCTAGTCTTTGTTTAAACAATAATAATAATTGGTGGGTCAACTCTTTACCATTTCAATTAGCCCTATTGATATTGATTGATTTTAATAATAAAAAAATTATTATTTTAATGATATGATAAATATAATATAATATATGTGATTGGTGCATAAGTTTGATATAATATTATATTCATCATACTATTAAAATAATAATATTTATTATTATTAAAATCACTTAATACCTGTATTATGTTGTGATTGAAATAGACCATAAAATAATTTATCCTGATAAAGACAGCAAAAACATGGAGACAGACGCATTCCAGTTGTTTTCCTGACATGGCAAATTTGTAATTCAATCTCAATGTTTTGCCGGCAACTCATTTGGTATGGTTTGGTCTTCGGTGGTAGGTAGCTTGTGTCAAACCGTTAATATAGGGATGGCTTCGTCAAATGTACAAACAGCAACCCGTAGCCTGTAAAGTACACCCAACTGTTTCTTCTAATATTCAACTTCATCTTATGTTAAGTTATATGATCTTAAATCGGATAAAAGCTCTTTTGATTTCAATGATGCTTTTCATTAACAAAAATTGAACTCAATATTAAAATAGTATACTTTATATATATTTTTAAATAACTTAAAATTTTATAATACAATGTCTATAGGATTTTTTTAACCTATAAATAACATACATATACAATTATAAACACAATTATTAAATTTTAGGGTGTGACGACTTTAGTGATAAAAGAGAATATTGTTATCTTTAGAAGTCTTGAGTTCAAACAATTGTATTTATGAGATGTGTTACGTTGTCAATAAATTAAGAAGGATTTGTGCATGGCCCATGCAAGAGGAAGACGTAATGCACTCCATGTGCCATTGGAGTTGAGAAACGCATAGTAAACCATGCAACTTTGCCAGCCATAAATGCATGGACACCCATGCGTCTTCGAGGGGTTGTATTATACGACGTTGGGACGACATCATTATCCGATCAACATTATAGCATTAATCCCATTTCACGAAATAATCTCTCCACAACATTATCCGACAAAATAGTACATTATTTGAAAATTTCAACATGTCCTAATCAATTAAAAAGATATTCATTACTTTTTTTCATATCATGCGTACATATAAATTTTAATTTTCAAATCAGGTTTTTTTATTAATATATCATAATTAAACATAAACTAAAGCATTATCTTGAGGGTCTTCATCCCATTTTCTCAAATGGGATGTTTTGAACAATAGTGCAAAAAAGATGCAAGAAGTAATGAGTGTCTTCCACACTAGGATCACTCGACATCTTCTACATGTCATAGGAGCATAGGATAGGAATGCATGAATGTATAACGATTATGAGAGTATGGGTTCTTTGCGTTTTCATGAAGACGTCGATTATTCTGAATGTTTTTTTTATAGTAATGTTCAAAAAAGATTATTTAAAAAAATAATTTAAAAAACGTATTAATCGGGAAAAAATTTGGTACATTAATTAATTAATTTACTAATTAAAATAAATTTATTGATTAAAATATTAAATTTGTACGATATTAAAATGATTCTATAGTGACCATCTATGTATATGTCATTGTTAATATACTATTATTTCAATTTATATGATTCAGGCTACCACGTCAGATTAGTGAAAAAGTTGACAGGTCAGTCAACATCTGCTTTAAAAGCACAACAATTTGACTATTAAGCATAGAGCAGGGCATACACACGGCTTTTAAGAACAAGTCAGCCGCCATTGGAATGACCCATTTTGGTGTTGATTTGAATTTCTTCGCGTCGATTTTAACCCTTCCGACAGAAAATTTCATCTGTTTATAAAGTAGGGTAAATTACAGATTTGATCACTTTTGTTTAAGTTTTATAAATATATGGTTACTGAATTCAAAAAACATAATATATAGTCACTTTCGTTTTATTTTAATTAACACGCGGTCACTGAAACATTAACTTATGTTAGTTTGATGATGTGACACGTTAATAAAATTACAAAATACTAATTAAGGACCATTTTATAAATTCAAAATAATTTAGGGACAAAGTTCTAGTTTACTCTTTTTTAATATTATTTTATTCTTTTGCTTCCAAAATCCAATTCAACTACACAAATCTCATTGCAGACAGAGATGCTTTCATGGTCTGGGCCACTGATGAGAAAGTGACACGCTTCTGCACTTGGGAGCCTTACACCAACAAAGAAGATGGCTTGAACTACATCAAGAACATCGTGTTGCCTCACCCTTGGTTCCGAGCAATATGCGTCGACAACCGACCGGTCGGGGTCATTCGGTGACTTCGAATTGAGGGAACGATAAATGCAGGGGAGAACTCGGGTATGTTTTGGCGTCCAAGTATTGGGGCAAAGGGATCGCCACGAGGGCTGTGAATATGGTAGCTGGGACCATATTTGATGAATGGCCTCATTTGGAGAGACTCGAAGCTCTTGTCGATGGTCACAGAGGGTTTTGGAGAAAGATGGCTTCATAGAGAAGGTGTTTTGAGGAAGTATGCCATTTTCAAGGGAATGCCAATAGACTCTACTTGTTATTTGCAGCATCCATTCTCATCTCCTCTAGTGTCGCATAGTGTCGCAAGCTCCGCAGCTTTCTTCAACAAGTTCCGTCTTCGTCTCGAGGCGGCTATTTTACTCGCTTTTTCATTGCCCATAGCCATGGAAGCAAAGGAGAAGGGAGGGAAAGCGGTGTGCGGCGGCGCATGCGGGGAAGGTAGGGGAAGAAGAAAAGAATATTAAAATAGGTAAATTACAACTTAGTCCCTAAGTTACTTTGAATTTATAAAATAATCTCTAATTAGTATTTTATCTAAAATTTAGAGATTAAATTAAAAATTAAACACTTTTACTAATGTGTCACGTTATCAAATAACATTAATCAACGTTTTTAAGTGGTCACATCTCAATTAAAATAAAATGAAAGTTATTATGTATTATATTTTTTTTAAATCCATTAATCACATTTATAAAACTCAAACAAAAGTAATGAAATCAATACTTTACCTATAAAGTAATACAATCATCTTTAAAAGGATTTTTTTTAATATAACATATACTTTAAATAACAATGATTTAAGGCTATCAGAAATTATAATTTAATTGTAAATCTAAATTTAACAAAATCGAATCATAACCAATCGATTTTCAAAAACTTTTTAGTCGAGGGAACGTTGATACAGTCGTGGAAGGAGTGGAAATTTTAAAATTTGATCAGAAAAAAAAAAGGATAAGATGGGTTGAAAAGCACGAGAGAGACATCTGAAAATGAGTAGAAGCATATATTTTTACAGAGAGGAGAATGGTCAAATATTACCGGTGGCGCCGGTCAATGGTTGAGATACTCTCTAAATTCTCTCTATAAAAGGTCTCTTCCTTATTTCTCTCTCTATAAACGGTCTCTTCTTTCTCTCTCTTTCTTGTGTTTGAAATTCTCCGTTGAAGGGTTCTTTGATCGTAGAATTTTCTGGGTCTTATTTGTAGTTTGTTTGATTACGAAAGAAGCTGATTCTGGGTTTTCTTTCTCGAGTTTGCTAGAGTGATAAATGGCAGTAAGTTTATCTCTTTTTAATCTTTCTTCCAGGTTCATTAGTTGCTTTTGCTTTGGTTTAGTTTACACTATTCTTCTGTTTGTTTCCTGGGAAAATTGCAAAAGACAGGAAGACGAGAGTCATGGAGTTTGTGGTTTTAAGCCATCCTATGTTCACTTCCATATTCCGATCTCTGTAATTTGTTTGTAACTAAAACTCTTTTGGAATCATAAAAGCACAATTTCATACATCTATGACAGGAAGAATGATTACAAAGTTGATTACTTTCTGCAATAAGGAAACATTTTTTGTCTGATTTCTTTATAACATGACGTGTTTTGTCGAAATCCATTGCTTGATTGATTCATTTTAAGATTTGGGATTGCTTATGCTCCATCTGTAATCTGCTACTGTTTTCCCCCATTAATGATAAAGATAAATTTGTTCGTGTTTTATCTGTAACAAGCTTCTGTCGCCATTGCAGCAACGTTCTCGTGTACCCAAGTTTGGCAATTGGGAGAGTGAAGGGAATGTTCCCTACACGGCCTATTTCGATAAGGCCCGCCAGGATCGAAATGGAGGAAAGATTGTGAACCCAAATGATCCCCAGGAGAGTCCGGCATTACATCAAGATTATGTTGCTCCAACTAGAGCTCCCCCTGCTTTACGACCAAACCCGGAATCGAATGAACCAGTAGGACATGGGCCTGGAAGGAGCAGGGAGGAAGGTGACCTCAAACAATATGCTGACTCTCCGGCGCGTAACGAGAACTTTAACCGCAGAGCTTCCGAGGACTCTAAACCTTCTCGTTACGGTGGTGGAGTAAGTTCCGGTGAAGCCCCGAAACGATCTGCAAGAGCAAGCATTGGATCTGAAAACAGCATAGATAAATCACCACTTCATCACCAGGCACGGGGCGCAGGGAGGGGTAGCATGGCATCACCTGCGTGGGAAGGAAAGACTTCATACGATAGTAGCCATGGTACTCCTGGGAGAACCAAAATGAGGCCAAGCGCTAGAGGCAATGAAAGTGTAATATATCTTTCTTCGCCCTTTTCCTTTCCGATGTGGAATTCACGTTCGCTGTGACAATCGCTTATCGAAAACTTGAGGTCTTCATGATTGGCAGCCTACATGACACTCGCCTCATGAAAGCCTTATCTACCTGAACGTAAATATTTGTCATTTGATTTAAAGCATGGTGCTAATAATCTGATTTCTGGTGTCACAGCCTGATAAAGGTGCTGCTGTTCCAAAATTTGGTGACTGGGACGAGAACAACCCATCCTCCGCCGATGGTTACACTCACATTTTTAATCAGGTGCGTGAAGAGCGGAACAACGGAGGCAAGGTAACACCGGGGGAGCGATCTCCATACCACACTGCCCGAAAACCAACTAACGGCCGTGCAAAGGTATGGTTTTCCTCTGACCTCACTAGGCACTTTGATTGCTAATGCCAGTGGTTTCTGAAAATCTTTACACAAACATTAATTCTTTATTTCTTCATTTTCCCCAGGGTTGCTGCTTCCCGTTCTGGAGGAAATGAGCGGATTTTGCTATAAATTTGCGTGGAACATTGTAAATACATTGAAGGCTCCATCAAAGCATAGGAATTTCACTGAAGTTGAGGGTTCGCAACGTATTTGCACCTTTTGTTTTCTTTCTTTTTCATGGTAGTCTATTTGATGAACATGTTTTGTTCTTTCCCCTTCCTCTCTTAGATTGTCTGTTTTTGTAAACCACTTTACATTGCAGTTATGTTTTGGTTAGAAATAACAGCAAAAGCATATTCTTTTATTGCATTCTAAATGTTTTGGTCGAATTATTTGGTTAAATCATTTGTTGTTTTCCCTTCCATACGCCAATAATATGAGATTCGAGAGCATACTATGTTATATTTACTCTAGATTTATATACATATAAAAATTAGAATCCCAAAACATTGACCTTCAAGGTTTCGGGTACAGCTGCATGGAAGTTTGAAATTATTGACTTGATTTCTTCAAACAATAATAACTTGACGGGGTCATCCATCCAGAGAAAAAGCCACAATGTTACTAGCTGCAGGCAATCCAAACTAACACGTTCCACATTTCGAAGGGATGTTCTGTTAGATTAGAATATTTCAAACTTTTTAAATTTCTAAATTGGATTAATCTTCATATTATGGTTAAAATTTGAATATTATTTAAAATACAGTAAAATATACAAATAATTTCTGATATAAGATATTATTTTTTGAGTTTTAGACTATTAAAATTTATAAAATGAACCCTCAGTTATAGGATGTTTTTTGTTCAGTTGCTCGACTAGCAGTAGTTTTGTTTCTGCAGTTCTGGTGGTTCTGAGTTTGTTCCTTATGGTGCTGGCCTATTTGGGAGTTTTCTGTGAATTTTGGATTTCCAGGCGGTTTATGGCAACCACCTCGGCTTTCAAAGATGCTGTTAGGGTGTGTTGGGTTCTGCAGCAATGTTTAATTTGCATTTATCTTTAATCGTGAGAGGGGGCCGCTTGTGTGTTTGTGAGGGAAGAGTGTTTTGGTGTCTGATTTGTAAATCGAATGGTTCTTTCTCGATTCGGTCGCACTCTTTTTCCTCTGTTTAGGTTTAAGAATGTTTTTTAATGTGGTTCTTCTACGTCATTCTTTGTACGAGTTTTTTTTGTTTTGAATTCATATAATACATTTTAAAAATTATAAAATGGTCACATGATCTTTTATTATGTTTTAAATTCGTCTTTTTATATTAAAAAATTAACGGTAATTTAAATTGGATGATAACATATTAATTGATATATGATAGTCGTTTGAGATTATGAGATCAAATTTTATCATAGCTCAAACATGTTAACTTCTAGCTTAGACTGTCGTCAAATTTTTAACGGAAAATGACGAGTTTGAAACATAATAAATAGTCAGGTGATTATTTTATAAATTTCAATAGTCGGTGACTCAACAAAGCAATGTCATGTAATTAAGAGAATATTTATATACTTTATTCTTAAAATATGAATATTAAATTTAGATTTTACATTAAAATAAATAAAATCTTTATAAATTTCATCAATATTATTTATTTTTAAAACACGAAAAATTACTAATGCCAATACAACAAATACATATTGCTTTACAGTTTGACGCACGAATTTAAATATTTTACACCTCCAATTGATGGAATTGATATTAACGTCTGAATTAACAATTAGATTAGCATAAAAACTTGATTGATTTAGCATTAACGTTTATGATTAATTTAATTTTTGTATAATAATTTTGGGATGTTTGCTAAAATTAATCGTTTTCAATATTACATGGACAGTCAAATTATTCCAAAAAGTTAAAATCAAAGGCTAAATCTACATTTTGGTACTTAAATTTATCTTCAAAGGGTAATATGATTATTAAGGTTTTTCTTGTATCTAAACTTAGTTTTAAGGTTTAATTTGGTACTTAAACACCTTTATTTAGTTTTAAGGTTTAATTTGGTGCTTAAACGCCTTTATCCCCAAAACTACACACTTGAACTTGTTGGTTAAAATTATTACTCAAATATAATTTTGGGTAAAGTGCACAAATGGTCCTCCGACTAAAAGGCACTACTTTGTTGATTCCCTTGACTACTAAAAATTACAAAATGATCTCCTAACTATTGGGCGATGTCTTATCGAGTCCTCACAAAATAATCACCGACTATTCATATATTCCAAAGTCGTTCATTTCTATTAAAAATTGACGATCGTTTGAGCTAGATGTTAATATACTGATTGAAATATGATAGAGCATATTTTAATGATGTATACTAACATTGTCGTAGCTTTCAAGAACTAGCTCGACAATAAAATATTTTAAGCACTTGCTCAGTGACATAATATAAACACATTTTCGATCCATAAAATACAACTCAAACAGTTCTCGAATCATATTTTATCATATCCTAATCAATAGGTTAACATCTTACTCAGATGACCACTCTTTTTTTAACATAAAATAATGATTTTGGAACATATGAATACACGGTTGACCATTATGTAACTTTTAATAGTCTGAGAACTCAACAAAGCGGGGGATATAGTTGAGGAACCATTTTATAAATTTCGTAGTTGGAGACTCAACAAAATAGTGTCTATAATTTGTTATCCAAATTGTTATTTACTATAAATTATTTATTTGAAATATAAAAATTTAGATACTAATTTGAACTTAAAAGTAAAGTTCATATGCTTAATTGAAAAAATGTAGGTACGAAATTGAACCTTAAAACCGATCAAGTATCTAATTGGACAAAATAAAAGTTTGGATAACCAGATTGCATTATGAAACAAAATTAGGGTATCAAAATAGATATTTATCCAAAATTAAACAACAATCCGTCGGCGTGAGTGAAAGTCAAGAGCGCCAAAAATTCGCGGTCGCTCAAAACAAATCAAAATTTCAATGAAAGCCCACCAAAATTAAAAAAAAAACCAAATGAACGTCATTCACAACTAAAACAAAAGGAAAGCGCTGAGAAAATTTCATCATTCCTTTCTCCTCCTTCAGTCTAGGAAAATCAGATGGAAACCCTTGAAGTATATCGCTTAATGATTTCTACTACAAAAGCTCCTTGCGTTTACATGGTTATACTTCTAGGGTTTCAGCAGCAGATATGGTTTACGGGGTTACTGCATTGCTTGAATCATTCATGCAATCGGACGGCACGTGTGCTCCGAAGCAGTTCGGGATGGCATACGATGCTCTGTCACTAGGTAATCTCGATAAGCTGAAATCTGGAATGCAACAAGCAATCAAGATACGAAGAGCTATTCTTAGGCAAGGAAGTGCTGCAATAACGACGAGTGGCTGCATCAGGAGTGGGAGAAAGTTTAGGTGGGTGAAGCTTGAAGATTCAGTAGACACCAAGCTGTTGGGTCAACCCCAGGCTCTGACTAAGTTCTGTTACTTTCTAATGGATGCCTTGAAGGAGAAAGGAGCTAAGTTGAAGCCTTTGCTTTGTGCCTGCATATTGCAAGATTCCTCTAAGGTGTTGATTGTTGGGGTCTGCGGGAAGCCTCATCTCGGTGCACTTAAAGGGAATTCAGTCGGTCTTGCATTCAGGAACGCGGCCGAGGAAACATGAGCTGAATTCTTCCATGAGCTGTTTGAATCTTCATGGATTGTGTTGGATGCAGGTGTTGTTAATTCCTTCATGGTCAAACTAACTGAACAGCTTTGATGTAAAGCTTTCAATAGTAGGGCAATTGTAACTTTGCTTTGTCAAAATGAAAACATTTGTTCATTAATTTTAAGCGAATAACATGATAACTCCGGTCAAGTAATTGGCTTTATTACATGTTTGGCGTTTCCTCAAATGATGTAATGATTGTTGGATTCAATTGTCATGTTTCTTTAAGAATTTTCTTTTGTTCATGTGCTTGCATATGTATTGTTTTCCTTTTCCTCAGGTTTAGTTTAATCGTTTAACACTTTAAACTTCATTTTTATTTTAATGGTACTTTTATCGGTATATTTATAAGAGAATATAAGATCAATTATACATGCTTTAATATTTAATTTCTTCTGATTTATAAATAAGGAGAGGTCTAAATAATATAAATATTATATTAAAAAATTGATACGATATACTAAAATGCTAAAGTGTCAAATTAATTTAAAAAACATTTAAAATTATAAGAAATTAGAGAAAATTAATTTATCAATACAAGTAACTTGATTTGTTAATAATTAAAATTGAATGATATTATATGATAAACTTAAAAATTTATACTCTATTGAAAAATTGAGATTAAATTGAATAATCTAAAATATAAATTATCCCATAAATTAACAATTATGTTATAATAGTATAATACCAACTCTAAATTGTATTCTTATTTATTTTTCAAATAAAGCCGTTTCACATCAGCCCACTGTTTATTTAATTAATTTTGTTTAAATAATATTATATATGGTATAATATAGATTACAAATCATAATTAATTTCAATGATAATTATTAAAATGTATTAAATCAGTATTTCTTTGGTAGTCTATTTATTAGAAGAGTTTTTTGGGTAAGCTATTAAATCAATTATTCAGTACCCATATAATTAAATATATATGATATTATTATATAATTATATTAAAAATACCAATTATACAAAAATCAATAATAATTTAGCTTTTTTATATATAAAAAAAACACAGTAGTGATAATTTAAGTTCAAACAAGATATATCTCGAACCCATGTCTCCTCCATTTGTGCGTCGCGGTTACTCTCAAAACCCTTAACAGGGAAGACTTTCAGAAGGTTTCTGGGCTTCGCTTGTTTTCTTCGATTTTTTTGGTTTTTTATTTTTTCTGGAAATTTTTTAAAGCGATTGGATTTCGGGGTAAGATTTTGATATCTCAACTCTCCTTAATTCCCTCATCAATTTGTTTTCTTATTTCAATTCTCTTTTATTCAAGTATCGGTGTTACTGTTGATTCGTATTCCTTGGATTTCTGGAAATTTTTAAAAGGATACATTGCCCTATTCGATAAAATTTCTTTAATTTTAAATTGTCATTCGATTATTAGTTTATTACACTTCATAGCTGTTTTTGTTTTGGCCCATCGTTTGAATGAAATAAATAGTTGCAACTCGTTTGTGATATATATATATATATATGTATATGCTAAAATATCTCTCATTCACCTTGGAGGTGTTCCTATCCTTATTGAACTGGTTTGTGTTTAGTGAAAGCTTGATATTATATATATGGTGAACGAATGTGAGGAAGTTATTCTTTTTAGCTGTCTTTTAGGTTTTATTGAGGCTGTGATATTTAGGCAGTGAAGAGAAAATTATAAGCAGACATGAACACTATTGAAACGAGGGTCCCTTCTCTCAGAGGGTATCGACATAGGAAGATAGTGCTGGATCTAAATGTTCCTCCCTGTGATATTAGAGAGCAGGCTGACCTCGAGGAAGTGGTCAGCTATTCCATAGAGCCCGTGCCACCTGATACCATTGATGTTGAAGCTATTGAAGATGATGTAATTGAATCTTCTGCTACAGCATTTGCAGAGGTTTGCTTCTCTTGCTTAATAATTTTTTTGTTTTCTTCTCTTTAACTGTATGTGACATTTGTTTTATGGATTCATTTCAATCATGGGTGTCACTAGTTTTCTTGGGATTTATGTCAGGCTAAAAATAATTCAAGGAGCAGCAGTAGAGGGACCGTTATGGACGTGGATTCAGGTAGTTCAATTTATGAGGGAAGCACGTTCATAATATTTCCTTCATGTTGCAGCAGCAGGATTTTATGTTTGTTTCTTAACAAATGCTTGTTTTGATGCACCATTTCCACCTTGCAAATTCAGTCTATTTATCTATATGAGGTCAAAATAGTCCTTGTTAATTTCAAGCAATATGATAAGAAAAAAAATATTTGACCTTAACCGAGATAGATGATATTTGCTTGGCAACACTCTGGGCCAGTCCAATCTTATGTTTTGTGATTGCCCAGGTCAACCTGTTTAGAGAATGGTGGTTCTTTGTTTCATTCATTTATCTTTCAAACCTTGGATTACTGTCTGAAGTTGATGTATCTCACACCTCTCTTCTTCCAGGTCGTCTGGCTTGGTCAACTACTAATAATCAGAACAAACGTAGAAGACTTAATCTGAGCCAAACAGTTATCAATTGTGATCAATACATTAATTTGGAAAGCACTCCACAATCTATTGTAAGAACTCTTGCATCTGTTTGTTATTCAAAAGATGTAATCTAATATTTTCAAGGAAAGAATGTTTGAGTTTGGCTGCTTATATAAGACATTGTGATTGGACATCTCTTGTTATTTTTGTCCATCCATGTGTTCACACGGTGGTGGTGCATCTTTGACTTTGATTAGATTTATGAATGTTTTAAGTCTCATTAACTATTCTATTGGCAGGTCAAGGAAATTATAGAGTTGCAACCACCCCAAAGAAACCAACCTTCAATTGTCCAATTTGCATGGGTTCATTTGCCGAGGAGATGTCGACAAGGTGTGGGCACATATTTTGCAAGGCATGCATTAAAACTGCATTAGCTGAGCAGCGCAAATGCCCAACTTGCAGGAAAAGAGTCATCGCGAAGGAACTAATCAGGGTCTTCCTTCCATCAGCTAGTTAAATATGAGCTCTATGCCCAATTAGTAACGTAAGTTTAATGTTCTATATCTTTATTTTATAGTTAAATTTTCATTAGTAAAAGAGAATGAAATCATAGGTTGTTATTAAAGTGAATTATGTTTGTACGATGAATACTCCGTTGTGGAAGATGTGGAGCTTGGTGATTTTTCCTTGTAGTCTTTTGATATATGGCAGCTTTGTGAATGCTATTATTTGTTCTTTTAAATGATGTTCTTATGATTGTTTTTTTCAGTGATAATTCAAACTGCCCTTGAATGGAGTTGGTATGTCAACGGAACAAAACTTTGAAGGGAAATGTTACTAGCGCCTTGCGGTACATGCCCTAATAGCAAAAAGAAGAAAATATCAAAATTAATAATTCAATAAGCCTTATCTAATGCCTATAGGCACAGGTTAAGCAAATCCTTCTCTCAATATTGGAACATTTGACATGTATTGAACTCTGTTTGAGCGGATAATCTATTTGATTGGTTATGTGATTAGTTTTTTTTTTAATTCCCCTAGACCATAACCTTCATGCAATACCAATACTCAAATGGTTGGTATTGATACTACTGCTTTAGAATGACACATTGTTCACTCAATATGCTTTGAGTAGCGAAACTGTCATTTGGGTATAATATCATGACTAAAATTTCTATAATTTCCCAAGTCAGTAGCATGTTTGGTGTTGATACCGGATCCTTGGTATTGCTACCGACACTTGAATTTTGGAAATCTTTTCCAGGTATGAAAAACTACCTTGAACCGTAAGTTATCAACAGTTCTTGACTTGATTGATAAGTCATACAGTTTAAGTGATTCAAAATGGTTATAATCTATTGGTAAGTTGTTATTGTGTCTTGATTGTGCTATGAAGCACTTGATATTATTATAATTATCATTTTGCATCAGACTTCCTAATTAGTTTATTTAGGCTCTGTTTAATCAAACAGTTTAAGGGGAATGTGAACATTTATTTAGTGCAAATTCACTAAACTGGATATCAATCCCTCTAATTAACTCTCTTAATGCACGTTTACAATGAAACCAGTGACAGCATAAACCATCCCAATTCTAATTGGTTCATGAGGCAATAACTGCTGTGATAATGTAGAGTCTTCATCTATGCATAAAAAAGATGTCAAAGCTATTTACCGGAAACAGTGCCTGAAAATGCAATTGTAAATGCAATAACATGGCATGGTGGCTGAATCTTTTTCTTTTTCATCTTGAATGTCTGCACGGTGTCTCAACAAATTAGTTTGCACTAAATGCAGATAATGAAAGACATTTTGGTATACATATTTGTTGATGGCTTTTTGGCATCATTAAAACATCCATCTCGGGGATGAATGACTGGTGCTTTGGCGTTGTTTGGTTGGTGGCTGCTCTGAGTTGTTTCGTTTCTTCCTGATTGAGGAGACTGTAGGGCTGTAGTAGTCGTTACTTCTTTGAGAAGTTGCCCCTTGAGAGTATGTCTTCTTTCCATGTATCAAGTTCCTCTGCTTTTCTACCAATGCTCTGCGAGCCGCCGGGTTTCTTTGAACGGCTCCCCATCTTGTGTAACCCACAGAACTCTGGCTCCTTCCCCCCTGCTGAAACTTCCCTCTCTCGGACTTGTATAGTTTCGGCTCTCGGCAGTCTCGGCAGAGTACATGGTCTCCCCCTCACTGCTGTATCCGTTATACTTCTCGGGACATTCTACTAGAGATGAACTAGATTGGACCTCGCACTGGGCCCCGTTTACAGATGCCATTGAGCCAACTTCAGCATCCTTACTGGGACTTGCATGTAGTCTATTCTTGATTTGCTCTTCTTCTCTCAATGGGCTTTCTGGAGGGAGCTCCTTCAAAGCATTCTCACCTGAATTCGGAAGCTCTTGTTTGGCAGGTTGTGAAACTACAACAGTTCTCACAATCCTGGGAGGAAAATTTATATCCAAAAGTTGGATTTGGCTGGTCTCTTTCTTCCTAAGAAGGACCGAGGTTAACTTTGGCGATTCATATATTTCAGGAGTTGGGATTCCTTGTACATGTGCAGCATGTGGATCAGAACATGGTGTCTCTTCTTCATGAGTGTTCACTGCAGCAGAACTGCTTGGTGCTGGTTGATCCTTGCCTTTCGTGATTATATTTGACGAAG